TGGCTCGTTATTTTATTTATTTATTTTTTTGCCTTCCCATTTCGTTTCGTGGTCTTTGATGCAACGGTAGTTGGTTGGCCGTTATTTCGAGCTCTTTTAAATGGAAGGCGGCGACGGTTTAGCTCGAATGGGATTATTGCTATGCTGCTCCACGTCGTTTCTGCTCCTGCTGTTAGTTTTCCTGCTGATATTGATTATGCTATTGTTGGTGCCTGTTGATTGATGCTGCTGTTGCTGTTGCTGCTGTTGCTGTTGCTGTTGCTGCTGCTTATGCTGTTTTCTATTTTCATGATGTTGACAATGCTGTTGCTGTCGACGACATCCATAAATTTTGCCTGACGAGTACTTATAGTTGTATTTGATCAGATCGACAGCTGGACGATTGTTGCGCGCTTTGATTTGCAATCAGTGAACATACAGGGTGTTCAGGACAAGAACATGATGATTGTTCTTGGCCAGTGTTACGACATAGCCCTCAGAGGTGATTTTCAGGCCGCAACAACGTGAAACCTGCACAATAAACAATGATTTAATTAATAATATTATCATAGAGCAACAGCAATTGACACACAGGGGAGCAACCCATTGCCCTACGCCCTATGCATCAAGCGCCATTGCTCCTCTACGTAATCATAGATATATATATATATATATATAGGTGCTATAACTATATAACTATATATATTCAGCAAGCGAATGCAATTGCGCTGAAATCGTGCTTCATATGCGAACCTTGACATGTGGACACTCGAATTCGGATTGCAGTACGCCTTCCCGTGAGTAACAGGCCACATGGAAGCGATTTCCGTGTGAATCACCGATGAGTACGTCGCCAGCGTTGGATATGTCAATGCCGTTGGGAAAGCAGGTGACCTTCTCATTGCCAATGCGATAAAGGAAGGTGCCGTCCTCTTGGAAAACGGCCACGCAATGCCCTTTAAAGTCGCAAACGTAAAAATCATTGTCTGCAAACGAGAAATATGAATATATTTATATATGTATATATGTATATAGCAATATAAATGTGAGTACATGTGAGTAGCATTCATGACAGCAGCTGCACATGCGGAGTATACTTACCACGTATGGCAATATCGGATGGTTCTCGCATATAGTCACTGCAGTCGAACCAACGCACCAATTCGCCCTCCTCGGAAATGACGAAAACGGTGGGCGAGACGCTGTCGACGGCAACAATGTGTCCCTTGGCAGTTACAGCCAGACCCGCAACAATATCAATATACCTATATGCAGAGAGATCACACAATTAGCATGTTGTACAATATATACAATATATAGTTTGGGGCAGGTCATTCACAATCATTCGGCACGCACCTAATTGCAATTTTTCGCATAAAATGGCCGCACTTGGAGAAGATTTGCATGCGGGAGCGTTCGTTGCCTCGATCGCAGACCACGAATTTGCCATTGTTGTGCATGACAGCCACCTTGCGGGGATACCAGAGTTGGCCCTCCTCTTTGCCGGCGACACCAAATTGAAATTTGAGCGCGCCCATTTTGTCAAAGACCTCGATGCGATGATTGTTCGTATCGGCGACAATGATCTCCTCATCGACGCCCAGACAAAAGCCGTGCGGCGAATTGAATTGCCCCTTGGCCGTGCCGAGCGATCCAAATTTGCAGCGTATCTGCATGGGCGTGGCCTTGTTGCGGCCAGTTACAACGCTGGTGGTGCCGGGCGGTGCCACAGCATGGAAATTGTTGAGGCTCATCTCCTCGACACCGCCAACAATTGGATTCAGTGTTTGCAGATTTGGTGATGTGGCTGCTGGCATGCAGAAATCTGTTAAAATATAATCAAGGCACGTTGAGCTTCCGTTCGACGACAACAAATCGTGTTGCTCATCTGTGTGTTGTTGTTGTTGTTGAGTGGTATTTTGGGGAGTGTTGGAGATGTTGTTGTTGTTGTTGGTGTTGGTAGTAGTGGTTGTGGTGGTGGTGGTGGTAGTAGTAGTAGTAGTAGTGGCGGTGTTTTTGTTGTTGTTGGTTTTGGTGGGGTGTCAATTGTGGTAAAAAGAAAAAAGAACAAAATAAAAACAAACTTAAAATTTGCAAAAACAATAATAATAACAACAACAAATACAACCAAATTATAAGTTCTTTTAGAATGCCAATACGCTTAAAACACTGCAGACAGCATCAATGAAAATCGCATAGAAAGGCGATAATATTACAAATTTAGAGGTAGTTAAAAGCTGAGAAGATCTTGTTAAAAATCATACTAATTAAAAATAAATCTAAATAATAAAATTATAAAAAGAAAAATAAAAAAAGTTATGTAGCGAGAGATACGATAAGATATCTCATTTAGATTAGTGAATGCAATTAGTATTAAATTCGCTAATAAAAATCGCTAATAAAACTTACGAATCGCAGTTCCATTTGACAAGATCTCATTTTAAATCATAATTTTATAATTTAA